CGTGCGCAGCTCAGCTCCCAAGTCTTCCCCCCTCCCCCCCATAGCCTCTTGCGCATGCGCCTCTCAGGTTCTGAGTAGTTATTTTTCAAACTGCGGAGGTCGCGCAAGCGCAGCTTTGATCTGGGCAGAGTCGGGTCCCACTGTGGGTCAAAGGGCAACCAGAACACGTCTTCCTGGCAGAGCCGGGACTTGATGCTGCCAGAGACCCAGGCGGGCTGCGTCGGGCGGCTACGGGCGGGTCTCTAGGCTCGCGGTGGGGTCTCAAAACTTCCGCAGCGCCGCCCACGGGTCGCGATGGAGGAGGCGCGCCCCCTCGCGGCCATCGCCCGCAACTTGCGCTCCTGCCCGGCCGTAGCCGGGAAACCTCCCTCCCTCCCTCCTTCCTTCCCTCCCTTTGGCCTGGGCACTGTCCCTTAGCTTTTTCCATTCAGGGCTGGCTTTCAGTCACTTGAGCCACACCTCCTTTTCTAGCTTTTTGATGGTTAACTGGAGATAAAAGACTGAGGGACTTTCCTGCCCCAGCGTCTTCAAACCTTGGTCCTCGGATCTCAGCCTCTCAAGTAACTAGGATTATAGGTGTGAGTGGCCACATCCTGGTTTCTTGAATAAGAACAAAATAGTTTGGGCTGGGAAAGTGGCTCAGTGGTAGAGCGCTTGCCTTGCATGCATGAGGCCCTGGGTTCGATTTCTCAGCACTACATGAGCAGAAAGAAAAAAGCCGGAAGTGGCGCTGTGGCTCAAGTGGTAGAGCACTAGCCTTGAGCTGAAGAGCTGAGGGAGGGACAGCGCCCAGGCCCAGAGTTCAGGCCCCACGACCGGACCCCCCCCCCCCCAAAAAAAAAGAACAAAATAGCTCTGGCTGTGACAGGCACCCAAGATATGACACTGGACCTAGAGATGGCAGCACTGTGAAACCACAGGTTTAACCTGCTCTGTCCCAAGACCTGGCCTACAGTGGTGATCTTTAGCTCCCCAATTCCTTGGTATGAATGAGGACTGTTTGGATAATTAGTACCTGCACCCCTATTCTATGTAAGGTCCAGGACTTGTCATAAGTTAGAGCATAAACACCAGATCCCTTTCTAGTAATATTTCCTGCATTACTATAGCAAAGCATATATCCGTGTGTTTAGATTTTAATTCCTGGGACTTGAACTCAGGTCCTGGGCAGTGTCCCTGAGCTGCTTTTGCTCAAGGCTAGCACTGTACCACTTGACCCACAGTGCCACGTGCAGCTTTTTCTGCTTATGTGGTACTAAGGAATTGAATGTGGTACTAAGGAATTGAACCTGGGTCTTCATGCATGCTAGGCAAGCACTCTACCACTAAACCACATTTCGAGCCCTACATTCCAAATTCTAATGAGACATGAAGCATGACTGTGTATGTAGTGGCCTTTGCTCCTGTCCTGTATGTGAGGCTCTCATTCCCAATATTTAACCCAGACTACTCACTTTCACTATCATAAAACCTTAAGTTTGAGGTGGGCACAGTGATTTACACCTGTACCCCTAGCTACTCAAGAGGCTCAGATCTGAGAATCTTGGTTCAAATCCAGCCCAGGCAGTAAAGTCTGAGACTCTTATTCCTAGCTAACTAGCAAAAAAAGCCAGAAGAGATGTGGCTCAAGTGATAAAAGTGCCAACCTTGAATGGAAAAGCTAATTGACAGTACCCAGGCCCTAAGTTTAAGTCCTGCTACTAATATGCTCTTGTGTGCCCTTTTAAGAGCCTTTGAAGTTCCTTTGATGTTCGCTGCCTTTTCCAGATCCATATATTGTTACTGGAACCAGTGAAGGTGCCAGGGGGAGGTCTCTGCCTGGTTCTTGGAGTGGGTACTGAATTTATTTATTTACTTGCCAGTCCTGTGGCTTGAATTCAGGGTCTGGGTGCTCTCTCTGAGCTTGTTTTGCTCATGGCTAGTGCTCTACCACTTGAACCACAGTACCACTTCCAGCTTTGTCTGAGTAGTTCATGGAAGACAAGAGTGTCATGGGCAGACTGGCTTTGAACCTTGATCTCAGCCTTCTGAGTAGCTGAAATTACAGGCGTGAGCCACTAGTGCCCACCTAGAAAAAGAATTTATGATATTGTCACAAAAAACCTGTAAGGACACATCAAAGAAGAGACAAAGAAAGTGCATTAGTAAGCAAAGCCAAGCCAGTACACAACCAGAAGTGGATGTGGGCATGTCAGATGACAGGTACAAGGACCACCCTAGTCTCTGGGATACTTATGGTGAAAAAAGCAGTCTGGGGAAGCCAGCAACTGTGGCGCATGCCTGTAATCCTAGATGCTCAGGAGGTTGAATTCTGAGGATTGTGGTTCAAAGCCAGCCTGGGCAGAGAAGTCAGTGAGACTCCTATCTCCAGTTAACCACCAGAAACCTGGAAGCGGAGCTGTGGCTCAATGTGATAGGGTGCTAGCTTTGAGTGAAAAAGCTCAGGGGTAGCACTAAGGCCCAGATGTCAAGCCCTATGACTAACAAACACAAAAAATAGTCTAGGGAAAGTAAAGGATGACACTGTCCAGTAAAGAAACGTATTCATTACCTGACTTATGAAATGGTAACCGTGCTGTAGTTAATAACAACAATAAAATTATATTAAAAGAAGAGTTTGGGGTTTGGCTTAAATTCTTAGGATGAGTGTTTCCCTTTCATCCCACACTTGGTGCATTCTACCATGCCTGTTGTCAGTAACAGTTTTATCAACTGGTTAGAATTTCTAGGCTGGTCTGTTTATTTCATTTGGATCATTAAAACATAAAATGTCTGAATATTCCTTTTACCAAAAGGATAGGATCTGTCACAAACTCCTGGTGTCCATCTTTGAGATCAGTATTTTCCTTTGCAAACACTTCTCAAATGATTTGTTTCCAGGATGAGTATCTTTAAGATTTCCTTGTCTGTTCCAGAGTACACATTTGAACGAGCAGACAAGATTACAGGGAGCTGCTCTTCCCCCAACCCTGCCACTTTTTTTTTTCTTAATGTTGCAGTTTATTGAGGGAGTATAAGGCTAAAAGCAAAGAAAAAATAGTATCTGTGTGCTGCAGCTTTTCTTTCCTTTTTTTTTTTTTTGACAAGTCATGGGTCTTGAACTAAGGGCCTAGATGATATCCCTGAGCTTTGTTTGCTCAAGGCTAGCACTCTACCACGTGCTACTGCACCACTTCTGGCTTTTTGTTTATGTGCTACTGTGCTAGGCTAGCACTCTACCACTAAGCCACATTCCCAGCCCAGTTTTTTTTTTTTTTAAACTGGAGTTAGGGCTCAGTCACTTGAGCCACAACTCTACCTCCAGCTTTTGGGAGGTTAATTGGAGATAAGAATCTCAAGTCCTATCTCAGCCTTCTAAGTAGTTAGGATTACAGGCATGAACCACAAGCACCCAGCTTGCATTGCTTTCTTTCCTTCTCTGCTTGTAGTAAATGTACTTTTTCTAGTTCAAGCTGGACACTTAGAACAACTTAGGATATTTCTTCTTGTCTAAGGTAAACATTCAATACTACCATTTTCCCTCTAAGCCCCATTTTAGCTATACACAATTCATATTCATTCAGTTCAAAATTCCCTGTCATCTTCCCTTTGAAAGCTTTTGCTGGTTTTACCTGCTTCTGTCTTTGGGTCTTATCTGATGACATCAACAGCTCTCACAAAGCTTTCATTCACTAGATAGCTTTTCTCTGAAAACTACTTGGGCTCTTTCTTGTTTTCACCCTGGAGTACCAGTAAACTAGCACCACTCAGGAAATAAGAACTTATATTCATGAATAGTTGCAGGAGGGTTAGTAAACTTTGTTAAAATTATATACAGAGATGTACCTCACAAGTAACTCTTCTCTACCTTGTGTGGCCACAGATCAGTGTCTTTTGTGTGTGTGTGTGTGTGCAGGTTCTGTCTGGCACTTGAAATCAGGGCCTGTTTCCCCTGAACTCAAGGATGGTGCTCTACCACTTGAGCCACAGCTCCATTTCTAGGTTTTTGGTGGTGAATTTAAGAAGTTTTGGACATTTTCCTGACCAGCTTGCTTTGAACCTCAATTCTCGCATCTCAGCCTCTTGAGTAGCTAGGATTAGAAGGGTGAGCCACAAGTGCTGGCTGATGTACATTTTTGCATTGAACATCTGAGATTCCCAGGCCCACTCTCTGACCACCCTCAGGCTCATGGATAGAGTATGCAACCAGGGTTTAAAAGAGGATACTGAGGAATTACAGAAAATATGAAGATGGGGTTGGAGGCATGGCTCAGTTGGTAAAGCACTAGCCAATGAGTGAAAGTGACAGGTCTCCGAGTCTTGGAACTAAAACAAAAGATAAGAAAATATGAAGAACACAAGGCGCATTAATTGAAGAGCAACAGGCTCTAATTTCTCAAGGGAATGTGAATAAAAAGGAACATGCCTCGCTTGGACAAATGCAAAGTTAAAATGCTGGGTAGCAAAAGTATTTCTAATAATATTGGCTGAATTACAGTGAACAGATGTTTTCACTATACCCACTGAAAGATCTAGAACAATCCATCCACTGTACAGCATAACAAAGTGCTTGGTATTCAAATGTTTTACATGATTTTTCACTGAGGGAATTTATCTCAGTAGCTCTTATTGTTTCTCTTTTGCAGACTACAAAAGTTGAAGTTAAAAATATTAACTTAAACCGGGCACCAGTGGTTCATGCTGCTAGCTTCTCAGGAGGCTGGGATCTGAGGATCAAGTTTTGAAGCCAGTCCAGGCAGAAAAGTCTGTGAGCCTTATACCTCCAATTTGGCCCCCAAAATGCCAGAAGTGGAACTGTGGCTCAAGTGGTAAAAGTTCCAGTCTTGAGTAAAAGAGACTCAGGCATAGTGCCTAGGCCTGCATTCAATCTCCAGAACTGGCAGGGTTAGAGACTGAACTCAGAGCCTTGTACATGCTAGGCACACACTCTTACACTGAGCTACCTTGTCAGCTGATGTGTGTGTGTGTGTGTGTTGGTTTATTCCAGATCTTTCTGGGGTTCGAACTCAGGGCCTGGGTGCTGTCCTTGAGTTTTTTTTTTTTGCTGAGGGCTAGTGCTCTACCACTTGAACATTTAATTTATTTCCAGCTTTTACGATAGTTTAATTAAGGTAAGAGTTCTCACAGACTTTCCTGCTCAGGCTGTTTCTGAACTGCAATCTTCAGATTTCAGCCTCCTAAGTAGCAATGATTATAGGCATGAACCACTGGTACTCAGCTTCAAAATATTGCATCTTCACAACACAAGTATTTTGAAGGACTGAGCAGACCCATGTCTCTCAGCGAGGGTCCTTGCTGTGTACCCGCTGGTGGATGTGGAGGTTGGAGCTCTGGCTGAAGCCCTTCCCACACTGGCCGCACTCGTAAGGCTTCTCCCCAGTGTGTACCCGCTGGTGGATGAGGAGCTTGGAGCTCTGACTAAAGCCTTTCCCACACCTGCCACAGTGGTAGGGCTTCTCTCCGGTGTGGACACGGAGGTGAATGCGAAGGTCTGAGCTCTGGCTGAAGCCCTTCCCACACTCGTAGCACTGGTAGGGTTTCTCTCCCGTGTGGATGCACCGGTGAATGTGCAGGTTCGAACTCTGGCTGAAGCCTTTCCCACACTCCCTGCACTTGTAGGGCCTCTCCCCTGTGTGCACTCGCTGGTGTATGTGCAGGTTTGAGCGCTGACTGAAACTCATGCCACACTCGCCACACTCGTAGGGCTTCTCCCCCGTGTGCACTCGCTGGTGGATATGCAGTTTGGAGCTCTGGCTGAAGCCTTTCCCGCACTTGTCACATTTGTGAGGTTTCTCTCCAGTGTGGACAGCGTGGTGGATGAGCAGGCTGGAGCTCCGCGTGAAGCCTTTCCCGCACTTGTCACACTTGTAAGGTTTCTCGTCCGTGTGGACGGCATGGTGGATGAGCAGGCTAGAGCTCCGTGTGAAGCTTTTCCCGCACTGCTCACATCTGTAGGGTTTTTCTTTGAGGTCCCCTTGGTGGTGACGTGGCTCTGCATTCTGATTGCAGGGTTTCCCATCCTGATCACATTTGCAAAGTTTCTCTGCAGCTTGCACAGTCTCATGGGGATGAAGTCTGTCCTCATAGTGCTCATGGCCGCAGGACGTCCCCTCTGTGTGAGTGCTTTGATGACTGCAACTGACCAACAGGGGCTGTGGCTCACAAACATCTTTACAGTGACAGTCGAAACTAGCAGGAGATCCTTTCAATTGTCCATTCTGGCAAGGTGCCTGACCACTGAGCAATGGCAGCCCCACCTCTGTTACAGCAGATGCAAGGTGGAGTTGAGGGTTGTCTGAAGGATGGGCCTCGTGAGGACTTTCTCTGCTTACTAACACTTTGCTCTCGGTGCTCTCTTCATTTACAAAGAGACCTTTGCTCTCCTGAGACTCCTTCTTACAGAACTCCACAGAGGAGTCTCGTATGGCCATTTGGCTTTAGACTTTTCAAAGACAATTTTTTTTGTTTTTATTTGTTTTTATATTTGCAAAATCACTTTGAAGAATTACCACACTCTTTGTGTTCGTGGAAATATGGTAGAATGTTTTTTCTCCACTTGTGTGTGTGTGTGTGTGTGTGTGTGTGTGTGTGTGTGTGTGTGTACCAGTCCTGGGGCTTCTTAGGGTCTAGATGCTGTCCCTGAGCTTTTTTATTTCTTTCCCCCCTCAAGTGCTCTACCACTTAAACCACAGGTCCATTTTCGGCTTTTGTTGGTGAATTGCAAATAAGAGTTTCAGACTTTCTTGTTCGGGCTGGCTTCAAACTGATTTTTAGATCATAGTCTCCTGAGTTGCAACAATTATAGGTAGAGCCACTGGCATCAGGCTGTTCTTCACCTTTGAATCTAGTTCAGGATCCCTGTTCTGTTCCCCCTTGAAGATTCACTATGTAATCCTGACATCCGGGTACTGAGTGGTTGTAGTTTCTTCCAAAATTAGGCAGCAGGAAAGCTCATGTACGGAGTACTTATGTTCTTTTTCTTCAAGAATCTCCATAGAATTTTCACTCAACTTTCCTAGGAAACCATTCAGTGATAAGAAAAAAAAAGGGTAGACTTTAAGATTTCAGAACAGGAGTGCCTAAGGCCTAAATGCTTGGCAACTAGGACAGAACCTGGCTTGTCCTTGGAGTCATCTCCTTTAAGTTACTGTCAGGAGAAGGGAGACAGACCTGTGTTCAGAAGACAGACAGTTCTCTGCTTTTTTTCTTTGGTATATGTGTGTGTGTGTGTGTGTGTGCTATTACTTAGGCTTGAACTCTGGGCCTGGGCACTGTCCCTCAGCTCTTCAGTTCAAAGCAAGTACTCTACCATTGGTGCCACAGCACCACTTCTGGTTTTTTGGCCATTAATTTTTCCTGCCCAGGCTGGCTTTGAACCATGATCCTCAGATCTCAGCCTCCTTAGTAGCTAGGATTACAGGCATGAGCCACCAGTGCCCAGCCTGGTGCTGTTCTTTAGCTTTCTGCTCAAGGCTGCTCTACCAATTGAGCCACACCATTACGTCTAGGTTTTTGGTGGTTAACTGGAGATAAGAATCTGATGGACTTTTCTGCGTTGGCTGGCTGAGATCCTAATTTCAGCCTCCTGACTAACTAGGATCACAAGTGTGAGCCACTGGCACCCAGCTTGAGAAGATTTCTTTTCTTTTTTTTTTCTTGGTCCGGTTGTGGGGCCAGAACTCTGGGCCTGGGTGCTGTCCCTCAGCTCTTCAGCTCAAGGCTAGCGCTCTACCACTTGAGCCACAGCGCCACTTCTGGCTTTTTTCTTTTTGCTTATGTGGTGCTGAGGAATCGAACGCAGGGCCTTATGCTCTCTACCACTGAGCCACCTTCCCAGTCCCTTGAGAAGATTTCTGAGTAAAAGTGTGGGACATGGAGACAAAATAGTGGCTGATATTCAGTACAGGGAAAATTTTGGAAGTTATAGGCACAGTAATTATTGGCCCACCTTTGGTCCTCAGCTCCACCCAGACCTGAGTTCCTCCCTGCCCTGGAGTTCCCGCCATACAGCTGACCCCATCCTTTCTCTGCTCAGACCCACCAGAACTCCCATCTACCACACTTCCTACCACTCAGACCCTGCTGCTAGTGGAGGGTGCCATGTGCTCTCTCTCTGGGGTAAATATGGCTCCTCCAATAAACCTTGTAATAATCTTTCTCCCGCGCCTGCCTGCCTCTGCGAGGTTCTCTGGGATGGATGTGATGGATCCTTTCAATTATTTTCTGCATGGAACTTCAATTGCCCAAAAAAGAGCAACAAGAATTAACAAATGTGCTAGGTGCCATTGGTTCACATCTGTAATCCTTGCTATTCAGGAGGTTGAGACTTGCAGATCACGGTTCAAAGCCAACCAGAGCAAGAAAGCCTGGGAGACTCTTATCTCCAATTAATCAGCAAAAAAGATCAAGGGTTAGAATGTCTGCCTTGAATGAAAAAGTTAAGAGAGAGTGCCAGGCTCTAAGTTCAAGCCTCAGGGCTGGCATTAAAAAAAAAAAAAAAAAAGACAAAATAGGATTGCATTAAATAAAAACAGTATTATACAAGGAAGTGAAAACAAACTAAAAAAAAAAAACAAGACAACTCACAGAATGTATGAAAATCTTTGCCAGATAGTCAACAAATAAAGGATTAATATTCAGAATATACAAAGAGCTCAAGACATTAAACAGCAAAAGAATAAATAACTCGGGGCTGGGAAGGTGGCTCAGTGGTAGAGCGCTTGCCTTGCATGCATGAGGCCCTGGGTTCGATTCCTCAGCACCACATAAGCAGAAAAAGCCGGAAGTGGATCTGACACTCAAGTGGTAGAGTACTAGCCTTCAGCTGAAGATCTGAGGGACAGCACCCAGGCCCCGAGTTCAGGCCCCACGACCGACCAAAAAAAAAAAAAAAAAGAATAAATAACTCAATAAATGGCCAAATGAACAGTTCTCAGAAGAAGAAATACAAATGACTCATAGATACATGAAATGTTCATCATCCTTAGCCATAAAGAAATGCACATCAAAACCAGAATAAGATTGTATTTCACCTCAGAACGACGATCATCAAGAGAACAATAACTGCTGGTGAGAATGCTGTGGAAAAAGCAACCCTTATACACTGTTGGTATGTGCACGGGTGGATGTGGACTGAACCCAGGAATTTGAACTTGAATGCTAGACAGCATTCTGCTACTGAGCTACACTCCTCACACCCACTGTTTTATAACTTTATTTTGTGCAGGTACAGGGCTTAAACTCAAGGCCTGAGCATTTTCACTCAAGGCTGGTGCTCAACTACTTGAGTCAAAGATCTGCTTTTGGCTTTTTGGTGATTAAGTGGAGATGAGTCTCGGACTTTGCTGCCTGGGCTGGCTTCAAACTTGGATCCTCAGATCTCAGCCTTCTGAATAGGTAGGATTATAAGTGTGAGCCACCACCAGTGCCAAGCTTATTATATACATACACATATATATATATATATACACATAAAATATACATAGTATGTATGTATGTATATATATATATATATATATATATCTGAAGGACAGCTCTCAGGCCCTGAATTCAGGGCCCAAGACCTGTATGAAAACAAAACTTCTCCCACAGCAAAGTGTCAGGCCATCTTAATAAAAGGCCTGATCTAGCTTCATTGCATAGCAAAATGAAAATGTTAAGGTGAAGACTGAGAGATTAATATGGAGTGACAATTAAAAAAGCTTGGTTGGGGGCATTGCTCAAGAGGTAGAATGGTTATCCCATAAGCATGAGGTACCAAATTCAATCTCAAGTACCATACACACACAAAGTAAACACTCATTTCCTGAGAGTTTGACAATAGTAAAGATGGGATGAAGTGACAGAAAATGATCCAAGAAGTAGCGCACAAAAAAATGTTTCTTAGAAAATTCAAGATTCAACCAGGTGCCAATGGCTAATGCCTGTAATCCTAGCTACTCAGGAGGCTGAGATCTGAGGATCATGGTTTAAAACTAGTCCGGGCAAGAAGATCTGTGAGACTCTTATCTCCAATTAACCACCAGAAAACCAGAAGTGGCGCTGTGGCTCAAATGGTAGAGCGCTAGCCTTGAGCTGAAGAGCTCAGGGACAGTGCCGAGGCCCAGAGTTCAAGCCCCAACACCGACAAAAAAAAAAAAAAATCAAGATTAGTGTGCAGTGCATGTAAAAGCAAAATATAAGGTTTTAGAGGTGTGGCTCAGTGTAAGCCAATGAGCCAAACAAAGTGTCAGGTACTAAATTTGAGTTCTAGTCTTGGACCAATCTGAAAAAAGCACTATGTGAAATGACTCAAAGCCAAAGCACAAACTGCAACTAATCCTCAACTCAACTAATCCTAGCTTCTGAGTCCAGACTCCATAAACAAAACACTCCATAAACAAAACAAAATCCAGATAGGACAGTGAAATTGCATACACGTAAATGTGGATTTTATGGGCACTAAACTACAAATGGATAGAAGATACTGCAAAGTGAAACTAGAATGCTACATGTAACCAAGCAACCATTTCAATGAGAAGACATGGAGGAATTCAATTACTAAAATAAATCACCCAGAAATGGACTACAGAAATAAGCTAAGGAAAAGATGATACACGAAATAATAAAGTACGTAATCCAGGACTGGTGCCTGGTGGCTTATGCCTATAATCCTAGCTACTCTGGAGTCAGATCCAAAAATCATGGTTTGAAGCCAGATCAGGCAGAAAGTCTGTGACACTCTTTCTCCAATGAAACAGCAAAAAGCCAGAAGTGGATCTGTGGCTCAAGTGGCAGAGTGCTAGCCTTGAGTGAAAAAAGCCAAACAAGGTATAAGTCCCTGAGTTCAAGCCTTAGTATTGGCACCCACAAAAAATACCTCTTTACCTGACCCATGCAACTACAAGCCCTCTGTACATCACTTGTTTTGTTTTTAGGTTTTTGGGTTTTTTGCCAGTCCTGGGGCTTGAACTGAGGGCCTGAGCACTGTCCCTGAGCTTCATGCTTAAGGTTAGCACTCTATCACTTGAGCCACAGTACCACTTTCAGCCTTTTGTTTATGTGGTACTGAGGAATTGAACCCATGGTTTGTGCATGCGAGGCAAGCACTCTACCACTAAGCCACATTTCTAGCCCCTGTACATTACTTTTATAATAACAATAAAAAATAATTAAAAGTACTCATGAATTGATAAACTGAACTGAAACCCCACTGTACAACTAATGATTTTATATATATTTAGGGTAAATCAATTGTTGATCTAACCAAAATTCTGCTGTATCATTATGGAATAAAAATCTTTTTTTTTTTTTGGTATAGGTTGGGGTTTGGGCACTGTCCCTGATATTTTTTTTGTAGGTTGTGGGGCCTGAATTGGCTAGCGCTCTACCACAAGGCTAGTGCTCTGCCACTTCAGCCACAGCACCACTTCCGGCCTTTTCTGCTTATGTGTTGCTGAGGAATCGAACCCAGGGCCTTATGCATGCAAGGCAATTACTCTACCACTAAGCCACTTCACTTTCCCAGCTCTGTCCCTGAGATGTTTTTATTCAAGGCTCACGCTCTACCACTTGAGCTACAGTTCCACTTCCAGCTTTTTGGTGGTTACTTGGAGATAAGAGTCTTCACTGACTTACTTGCCCAGGGTGACCTCAAACATAATCCTCATATCTCAGCATCCTGAGTAGCTAGGATTGTAAACATTAACTACCAGTGCCTAACTTATTTTAAAAAAAAGCAAATATTAGCTATGGGAGTAAAAATGAGGAACTATAACCATAGTGTGTTACTTGATTTTACAGGGAACCATAATTATGGTCAAAGGAATAGAAGCACTTGAACAGTGAAATTCTGATACAGAGTTGGGAGGATGGATATATTAGGGCAGGTAATATAAAAATATCCTCATATACGATCTAAAAAAATCATCAGGGGAGCTGGGAAGGTGGTTCAGGGGTAGAGCGCTTGCCTTGCATGCATGAGGCCCTGGGTTTGATTCCTCAGCACCACATAAGCAGAAAAAGCCGGAAGTGGAGCTGAGACTCAAGTGGTAGAGTGCTGGTCTATAGCTGAAGAGCAGGAGGACAGCGCCCAGGCCCAGAGTTCAGGCCCCACAACCGACAAAAAAAAAAAAAAAAAATCAGCCCAGCATGTGGGAAGTATTTTGGTCTAGGCTATCCCAGGCAAAAAAATAGGACCCTGAATAAAAAATAAATACAAAAAGGGCTAGAGGGGTGGCAGAGCACTTGCCCAAACAAGAGTTAAGACCCTGAATTCAAAATGCAATATAGTAAAAAAATAAAAAGGAAAACAAAATGCCAACTATAAACAGTATAACATCATACATTTGTAATCACAGCACTTGGGAGTCTGAGGCAGGAGGGACAGAAATTTAAGACCAGCCTGGGGTACATCTAAAAACAACAGCAAGCCAGATGCTGGAGGTTCATGTCTGTAATCCTAGCAACTCAGGAGGCTGAGATCTGAGGATCATGGGTCAAAGCCAGCCCAGGCAGTTAAGTCCATGAGACTCTTATCTCTAATAAACCACTAGAAGATCAGAAGTAGCGCTGTGGCTCAAGCGGTACAGCATTTGTCTGATCTGAAGAGCTGAGGGACAGAGCACAACCTGAGTTCAAGCTCCATGACTGACAAAAAGAAAACAAAAAACCCAGCAATTAATTTTTTTGTCTTGTTTGCTCATACTCACTGGACACTGTTGAAATGATCTAATCAACTTGTGAGCAGGGATGGGAGGGGAAAAGTTGGAGGGAGTGAGGGAAGTGGTGACATTGCCAAAAAGAAATATACTCTTGAGCCAGGTGCTGGTAGCTTGTGCCTGTAATCCTAGCTACTTAGCAGGCTGAGATATGAGGATTGTGGCTCAAAGCCAGCCTGGGCAGGACACTCCATGGGACTCTTATCTCCAATAAATTATTCAAAAAAGTTGGAAGTGGCACTGGGCACCAGTGGCTCACACCTGTAATCCTAGCTACCCAAGAGGCTGAGATCTGAAGATCGTGGTTCAAAGCCAGCAGGGGCAGGAAAGTCCGTGAACCTCTTATCTCCAATAAACCACCAGAAAACCGGAAGTGGTGCTGTGGCTCAAGTGGCAGAGTGCTAGCCTTCAACTGAAGAGCTGAGGGACCCAGATTCAAGCCCCATGAAAGACAAAAAAAAAAAAAAGTGGGATTGTGGCCCAAGTAATAAAGCACTTACCTTGAGCAAAAGAAGCTCAGGGTCACTGCCCGGGCCCAGAGTTCAAGCTCCAGGACCGGCAAAAACAAAACAAAAAAAAACAAGAAATATACTCTTTGCATGGCTTATGTAACTATAGCCCCTCTGTACATCACCTGTATAATACCAATGAAAAATGAAACAACAAAAAAGCCCAGCAGAGCTAAACCAACAAGTTATTAATTATTTGAATAAAATACAAAGCTGGATTTATTTTATTTTAATTAATTTTGTGCCAGTACTGAGGCTTGACCTCAAGGCCCGAGTGTGGTCTCTTTTCGAATGAAGGCTGACGCTCCCTTACTTGAGCCACCGCTTCCCTTCCAGCTTTGTGGTGGTTAACTGGAGAGGAAGCTTTTCTCATGGACTTCCAAACAGTGATCCTCATCTCAGCCTCCTGCGTGGCTTGTATTACAGGCATGAGCAAGTCACACAGCATCTTCGTGGCTGTACCCATTTGGCAATCAGGGAAGCGTGATGATGCCAGGTAAAAACAGCACACAGGAAAGACACAGGGTCTGACACCAAGCAGGTACTCCATTCATTCTGATGTCCTGGCTCCTGTCCAAAAAAGGAGGGAGGTGTCTGACTTTGGAGAAGGAACTTACCTGGACTGCGGCCACATCCTCCGGGAAGGGCAGAGTCCTGGAAAGGCGGAGGAGAAAGAAAGAAGCCATGAAAAGGTCCCAGCTTCGGCGAAGCACCGCCCCCCGCCCGGGCCCCAAGCCGCGCGGTGCCTCCCCGGGGCTCTCCGCGCGGCACTTCCGATCACAGAGGAAAACATCCCAGTCCCTGCCGGCCGCAGTCTCGGCCTCCCTCAGGCCCTGCCCTCGAGCGCAGGGCCGGTCCCCGGCGAGCAGCAGGCCGACTCAGGCCGGCCCTGCGGCGCACGGTCGGGTCCGGCGACCAGGAGGCCCCCGGAGCCGCGGCCTGCGGTGCCGGAGGGGGTGGTCTGCGTGCGGCCCGTGGCCCTGCGCGGGGACGCGGCGCTCGGCCACGCGCGGGTGGCGCGGGGCGACAGCTCGGCCCAGGCGTCCAGGGTCTGGGTACACCTGCAGCTGACCCGGGCCGCCGCCGCGGGGGCCGCCCCGCCCACCTCACCTCCCACGTGGAGGCCTCGGGGAGAGACGCCAGGATCCCCACACCGACCCGCGTCCTCCGTCAGGCCCGAACTACAAGTCCCAGCAGGCTGCGCGGGCGCGCTGGACACGCCCGCCTCCGGCGGCAGAGGACGGAGGGGGCGGGCTCCGTTTGTGCTGCTTTGGACTGAGCATTGGCTAGGAAACAAGTGATAAAGTTAACCAGAAACACGTAAGAATAACATCACGGGATGCATTTTTTTATTTGTTGAAATGTCACTGGCCCGGAACGGGTTGCAAATACCACTATAAGTATTTTACCTTTAAAAATATTTAGAGGCCCGGCGCTGGTGGCTCATGCCTGTAATCCTAGCTACTCAGGAGTCTGAGATCTGGGGATCGTGGTTCAAAGCCAGCCTGGGCAGGAATGTTTGTTAGACTCTTATCTGCAATAGACCACTCAGAAAATCGGGAGTGGTGCTGTGGTTCAAGTGGTAGAGTGCTCTCTTTGAGCTGAAGAGTTGAGGGACAGTGCCCAGGCCCAAGAGTTCAAGCCTCACAATGGACAAAGATAATAATAATATAACTCAAAGAGCAATGGGGCTGGCTGTGTCCCTCAGTTGGTAGAGTGACTGCCTAGCAAGTGCCAAGCCTGATAATAAATGCCAGTACCACAAAATTTAAAAATAAGTGACAATGTTTTTAAACACTCAACAGTTTCCTCTGACTTCCAAAGCTTTTTCATACCACTTAGTATGACAATGAAATCTAGTACAGCAATCTTTATTTTTATTTTTATTTTTGGCTGATCATGGAGCCTGAACTCTGGGCCTGGGCACTGTCCCTCAGCTCTTCAGCTCAAGGCTAGTGCTCTACCACTCGAGCCACAGGGCCACTTCTGGATTTTTCTGTTTATGTGGTGCTGAGGAATCGAACCCAGGGCCTCATGGATGCAAGGCAAGCACTCTACCACTGAGCCACCTTCCCAGCCCAGTAGTACAGCAATCTTCAAATTCCCATTTCCTGCCTGAGGAACAGGAAATATTTTTCTATTTGTCCCAAGTTTAGCCCCACTATAGTAAAATAAATCCTTACTAAAACTTTAAAAATAAATGAAAAGGGCCAGGCACTGGTGGCTTACACCTGTAATTCTAACTGCTCAGGAGGCTGAGGTCTGAGGTTCAAAGCCAGCCAGCCTGGACAGGAAAGTCCACGAGATTTCCTCTGGGTAACCACCAAGAAGCCAAAGTCAAGGTGTGGCTCAAGTGACAGATCTCAATCTAGCCTTGAGCAAAAAAGATCAGGGACACACACTGTCCAGGCCCTGAGTCCACACTCTAGGATCAGCAAACACACACATACACACACACACACACACACACACACACACACACACACAAGAAACCTCTAGTACAATTTATGCTATTAACAAGAAAAAAATTCAGCATATCAAAGTAAAAAAAAGAACAAATCATTAAACTTAAGTGTTACAGGACTGGGAAGGTGGCTCAGTGGTAGAGTGCTTGCTTCGCATGCATGAGGCCCTGGGTTCGACTCCTTAGCACCACATAAGCAGAAAAGGCTGGAAGTGGTGATCAAGTGGTAGAGCGCTAGCCTTGAGCTGAAGAGCTCAGGAACAGCGACCAGGCCCAGAACTATTAAAAATAAAAAGTGCTACATTGGAATTGTTTCCCTCATATATTTTCAGATTGAAATCCTAATCTCCTAGAGCCCTAGAATTAGACCCAATTTGGAAATAGTCTTTGCAGATGTAACAAAATTGAGATTATTGTGGGGTCTAACCTAACCGGAAGAGGAAATGCAGCTGGGTAGAAATGCATTCAGGTTCCAGTGATTCATGCTTGTAATTTTAGCTATGCAGTAGGCTGGTATCTAAGGATCCAGGTTAAAACCAAGCCTGAGCAGGGAAGTCTGTGAGATTCTTATCTCCAGTTACCCCCCCCCCCCCCCCACACACACACACAGAGCCAGAAGTGGTGGTGTAGTTCATGGCTACAGCATTAGCCCTAAGTGGAAAAGCTAAGAGAGAGCACTGGGGCCTTGAGTTCAAGCCCCTATACTGGCACCAAAAACAACCTCAGAAAAACCAAACCAACTGAAACAATGCTGTTATGATAGTACACACCCCACATACATTCCCTCATAATCCAGCCTCAGTGAAAACCCAGCCCTGCGCAGGTGCTTGGGGAGGAGGTGCTCAGTGCATGAGAGCACTTTCTTCACTTATTGCCCATCCTGCCTGATCCCAGGACTGTCTGGTTATTTATGAACAGGAAAAGAACCCACAGATTTGGTAACACCAAGAGGCACTTTGGCCCTGTGTTTGCTAAGAATCACTGACTCCTTCCTTATTTGGGCCCACAAGAAAAAGCAGAAGCTTGGCATCCATGCCTCCATTAAAAATGTATCTTCTTTATTCTGAGTCTCTCCTACAATTACTTGGGTTCTATGGAAGGAAAAGAATAATCCAAAACAATTGATTGTACCAGTATAAAGACTTGAATGCTGGGCCTGGGTACTGTCCCTGAGCTTTTTGTGCTCATGGCTGGTCCTCTACCACTTGAGCCATACCTTCAACTCCTGACTTTTTGCTGGTTTATTGGAGATAATAGTCTCACAGAGGGGCTAGGAATGTGGCTCAGTGGTAGATTGCTTGCCGAGCATGTATGAAGCCCTCGGTTCGACTCCTTAGTATCCACATAAACAGAAAAAAGTCAGGAGTGGTGCTGTGGCTCAAGTGATAGAGTACTTATTTGGAGCAAAAGAAGCTCAGGGACAGGCTCACTGATTTCCTGACAGGACTGGCTTGGAACTGCAGCCCTCAGATCTCAGCCTCCAGAGTAGTTGGGATTACAAGTATGAGTCACCAGCACCCAGTCCTTGAGATTTTTTATCTTCAGTTAGCAAGTAGAGCTAGAAGTGGAGTTGTGGCTCAAATGGTAAGGAGCCAACCCTGAGTGAAAAAGCCAAGGGGCAGTGCCTAGGCCCTGAGTTCAAGCCCCAGGCAGGACCAGCATACACATACAACACACACAAAGATGATTTTGGGGTGGGGAATGTGCCTTAGTGGTACAGTGCTTGCCTAGCATGCAACAAGCCCCCGGTTTGATTCATCAGTACCACATAAATAGGAAAAGCCAGAAGTGGTGTTGTGGCTCAAGTGGTAGAGTGCTAACCTTGAGCAAAAAAAGCTCAGGGACAGTGCCCAGGCTTTGAGTTCAAGCCCCAGGACTGGCAAAGAAAAAAAATAGATTTTTCCCTTTGGATTTTTCCCAGTGTCTTTTTTTTTTTTTTTTTTTTTGCCAGTCATGGTGCCTGAACTCTGGGCCTGGGCACTGTCCCTTAGCTCTTCAGCTCAAGGCTAGCACTCTACCACTTGAGCCACAGCGCCACTTCCGGCTTTTTCTGCTTATGTGGTGCTGAGGAATCGAACCCAGGGCCTTATGCATGCAAGGCAAGCACTCTACCACTGAGCCACATTCCCAGCCCTTTCCCAGTGTCTCGAATGGGATTATTTTGAATATGGAAGGAACAAAAGACTTTAAAATTCATAAGGGGTTGATTTTTTTTTCTTTAGTGTTGATACTGGGGCTTGAACTCAGTGCATGGCTTTTTCATTCAACACTGGCACTATTACTCGAGCCATAACACTCTACTTCCAGCTTTTTACTGGTTAACTGGAGATGAGTTTCATGGACTTTTCTACTTATGGTAGTTTGAACTTTGATGCATAGATCGTTGGCTTCTAATTAGCTCAGATCACAGGACTGAGCCATTGGTGATAGTTCTGTTTTTTGTTTTTTTGGTGTAGGTTCTGGAGCTTGAATTCAGGCCTGAGCAGTGTCTCTGCTTTTTAGCTCAAGGCTAGTGCTCAACCACTAGCTCCACACCTGGATTTTTGGTGGTAAATTGGAGTTAACAGTCTCACAGACTTTCCTGCCCAGACTGGCTTCAAACCATGATCCCCAGATTTCAGCTTCCTAAGTAGCTGAGTAGGTGTGAACCTGGCCCTGATTTTTTTCTAACAGGCAGATGCCATCAACTCTGTAAGTTTAAAATCTATACTTGTGATACTCAGAACAACCTCTAATGTGGCATTCAATTAATAAAGGTACCGTGGGAAATCAGGTCAAAATAAACAGAAATTATGAATTATATAATGATGTAAACAAGACATTTATTTTTTCATAATCATTTGGGGGAAAGGGAAAAAGTCAGTTTGCCCTACCCAATGCAGGTCTTCCTGGAAGATTCTCCATTTATTCCACAGAATTCAACAGGCCTCTTGATCTCAACAGAGGGTTTTTAACCCTTCTTTCATAAAGAAAACTTGCTTTGCAGGGCATGATCAAGCTTGGACTTTGTTGACTCATGCCTGTAATTCAAGCTACTCAAGAGGCTGAGATCTGAGGATCAAGGTTCAAAGGCAGCCTGGGAAGGAAAATCTGTGAAGACTCTTTATCTCCAACAAACCACCAAAGAAGCCGGAAGTGGAGCTGTGGCTCAAGTGGTAGAGTGCTAGCCTCGAGTGAGAAAGCTAAGGGATAGTGTGCAGGCTCTGAGTTCAAGCTCCAGTACTAGAGCAAAAGGAAAAACAGAAAAGGGAGCTCAGAGGGTGAGCCTTTGTGAGCAGCTTCTCTGGTGCACAGCCAGACTGCCCCTCTGGGTGAAGCTCTTTCCACACTGGCCACACAGATAGGGAGTTTCTCCTGTGTGGACTTTGCCATGCAGGACACAATTTCCCCTGGTGTGAAAACTCTTCCTGCACTGGGGACAGGCGTAGGGCTTAAGGCCGGTATGGACTCTTATGTGGACAATTAAGCTTCCTTTCTGACTGAAGGCTTTCCCACACTGCTCACACCTGTAGGGCTTCTCCCCGCTGTGAACTCTTCGGTGCACGGCCAGGTTGCTCTGGTTCCGGAAGCTTCTCTGGCAGATGGCACACTCATAGGGTTTCTGTCCGGTGTGGAGCCGCTCGTGCACGGCCAGACTGCCTCGCTGACTGAAGCTTTTCCCACACTCCTGGCACTGATAGGGCTTCTCTCCTGTGTGTATTCGCTGGTGGGTGACAAGATTGCCTTTGGCCCTGAAACTTTTCCCACAGTGGGTACACTCGAAGGGCTTCTGACCCGTGTGGATTCTCTCATGTAAGGTTAGACTGCCTTTTTGCCGGAAGGACTTCCCACATTCCTGGCACTCATAGACCTTCTGTCTCACTCCGGGTGAGTCTTCCTGTAGTGACTTAGAATCTTGGGATTTGGGTTCCAGCTTCTCCCTTCGGAAGGAACTTGGGAAGTCCCAGCTTGAGGATCCTGTGGCCTCAGAGTGCTCATATTTGTGGGCTTCTGTCATCACATCTGGCAAAAGGAGAGGGAAGTCATGTAAGATGCAGCAATGTGCTGAGCAAGAACAGGGAGAAAGAAAGAACACAATCCTTTCAGTGCTCATGACATGGCAGGCGACAAGCGATGAACTTCTCATATATAATTCAGTCTGACACTGCTACTGATAAGGAAATGAGAGCTTCCAAAGAAATTAAGTTGCCAAAGACCACACAGCGAATTAGTGGGGTTTAAAACACTGGCATATTTCAATCATGTACTACCTCTAAATTTAATTTGCCCTCTCCCAAATATAATCTTGTGAGTTGGGTGCTGGTGGTACATGCCTGTAATCCTAGCTACTTGGGAGGCTGTGATCTAAGGATCACAGTTTGAAGCCAGCCTGGGCAGGAAAAGTCCATGAGAGCTTATCTCCAATTAACCACCCACAACAGCTGGAAGTGGAGATATGGCTCAGGTGGTAGAGCACTAGCTTTGAAGGAAAAAGCTAAAGGACAGTGCCCAAGCCCTGAGTTCAAACCCCAGGACTGTCATGCACGTGCGTGCACGTGCACGCACGCGCGTGCACACACACACACACACACACACACACACACACATAACAACTGTCACATTTTACAGGTGACAAACTCAAAGCTTAAGGTGGGTGCTGGTGACTCAAGCCTGTAATCCTAGTTACTCACAAGGCTGATGTAAGGATCCTAGTTCAAACCCAGCCTGGGCAGCATAGGCCATGAGAGTTATATTTAATTAACCCCCAAAAAGCTGAAGTAGAGCTGTGGCTCAAGTGGTACAGCAGTAGCCATGAGCAAAAAAGTTCAGGAACAGCACCTGAACTCTGAGTTCAAGTCCTAGGACCAGCAGAAAGACAAAAAGAAAAAACAAAAATTCCAGGAACTTAAGAAAATTAATGTCTCTGATAATACAAATCTAGTTCAGGACAGTTATTGAATTGGATATATCCAGGCTATTTAGTCTATTAAGCTATGTTAAAAGTGAAATCAACTTTGGCTTGAACGCTTTGCATGGATACACATCTAAGCCTCCTAGTGTACTTTATTTTTGTGCTGGTACTATTTTTATTCACTTTTGTGCTCAAGGTTAGTGCTCTACCACTTGAGCCACAGCTCCACTTCTGACTTTTTGCTGCTTAATTGGAGATAAGAATCTCTCAATTTTGTCTGCCTGGGTTGGCTTTGAACTGTGATCCTCAGAAGCCAGCTTCCTTGGTATACAGGATTACACACATGAGCCACTGACACTTGGTTTCTTGATCTGTTTTGACTGTTACTTCTGACTCCAGCTTGTACGCTTTCACTGTAACCCCAAGGCACAGTGAGCAAGAATAGCTCCTGTTTCCTCAGTCTGCTGTCAGTACTAAGGACAGTGACCCTAACTATCTGAGTTGAAGGCATCCAGGATCAGCTGACTCACTCACTGAAAAAGGCTACATTCTGGGCATATCTTCCATGACAGTCCAGCAGGGTAGCTGTTGGAAATCCAAACATGGCCACTCCTGCTCTGTAATCTCAATGTCCACCTCTTCATATGATTCTTCCATGGGCTGCTCGTGAATACCTGAAGGAAAAAAAAAAACAAATAAACAAATAAAACCACCACAAACTAAAGGGCAGCCAGGAACTTGTAGCTCATGCCTATAATCCTAACTACTCAGGGCTGAGAGCTGAGGATCATGGTTTGAAATCAGCCCAAGCAGGAAAGTCTATGATACTCTTACTTCCAATTAACCCCAAAAAGCCAGAAGTGGAGCTGTGGCTCAAGTGGCAAAGCATTAGCCTTGTGTAAAAAAGCTCAGGGACAGCACCTAGGCCCAGAGTTCAAGCCCCAGGATTTGTGTATGCACGTGCATGCACGCACACGCACTCACTCACACACACACACATACACCACCAAAGGGCAAAAATTTACAAGAGAGAAAATTAACATCAACATGAACTACAGTTCTTGGTACAAACCAAACAGGACAGATCTTCCTTGCTGTGTATGACATTAGCCACCTCCACTGTCCCTGCAATGTGGGCTAGAAGATACCAGGACCCATACAAAGGAATCCTGGAGCAAATGAACAGTGGGAAAGCAGAAACACATAAGCATGTACTTCTTCTAGTGAATTTCCAGATAATGGTAACTTGTTTAGTCTTGGCATGAGATTGGCAATCTTCCATTGCCTAACTACTATCTAGTGTTTTATCCTGTAAGCCCCAAAGGAATCCAGAATGTAAAAAGTCAACATTTCATCCTTGGATTATTGGTCCCATAAGTAGTTCTTGTTCTCTTTTCCAATTACCTCCCCCTCCCCTTCCTAAGTACCATAGAAGCCATCCATTTCCTCCTTTTTTTTTTTTTGGTGCCGGTAATGAGGCTTGAATTCTGGAAGCCTGGGCATTGTCCCTGAGCTCACTCTCTCTCCCTCTCCCCTCCCTCTCTCTCTTTCTCTCTCTCTCGTTAGTCATAGGGCTTGAACTCTGGGCCTGGGTGCTGTCCCTGAGCTCTTCAGCTCAAGGCTAGTGCTCTACCACTGTGAGCCACAGCACAACTTCCAGTTTTCTGGTGGTTAATTGGAGTTAAGAGTCTCACAGACTTTCCTGCCTGGGCTGGCTGTGAGCCATGATCCTCAGCCTCCTGAGCAGCTAGGATTATAGGCGTAAGTCACTGGTGACTGGCCCTGCCTAAGTTCTTTTGTTCAAGGCTAGCACTCTGTCACTTGAGCCACAGGCCCACTTCTTGCTTTTTGTGATTAATTGGAGATAAAAGTCACATAGTACCTGGCTTTTTTTTTGCTTCTTATATCAGGGCTGAATAATTACTGAATAATCTTTGTAGCCAAATGCAGGTGGCTCATGTCTGTTATCCTAGCTACTCATGAGGGTGAGATCTGAGGATCATGGTTGAAGTCAGCCAAGGCAGGAAAGTCTATGACTCCTGTCTGCTAAAACTACCAAAAAGCTGGAAGGGGAGCTGTGGGCTAAATGGTAGAGTGCTAGTCTTGAGCAAAAACAATTCAGGGACAGAGCCTATACTCTTGAGTTCAAGCCTCACAAATGATTACCAAAAAAGATAGAAAGAATAATCTGTTTTCTTCTAATATGTCTATTGAAAGACCCCTAATTTAATGGAGTAACAATATGATGCTACAATTCTTCATTTTACTAATCAAGCTGGCTCTTCTTGACAACTGCACACTCAGCTATATACTGTAATAACCAGGAACTTTTTTCTGTGGTAGTAGTTTTGCTCAATTGCTTGAGCTGGTGCTCTGCCACTTGAGCCACAGCTCTGCTGCTGAACTTCTGCTGGATAATTGGAGATAACAGACTTTTGAACTTGTCTTCCTGGATAGACAGTGAATCATGATTCTCAGATCTCAGCTTCCCGAGTAGTTAGGATTTCAGGTGTAAGCCACCAGCTCCTGGCCCTGACCAGCAACTCTTACTTGGAAGACTCACTTTCAATGTACAACAGAAGCTGCAAAGGACTTCCAGCACAGTGTCAGCTCATTCACTTGAGAGTTCAAGATATTACAGATCAACAAGCACATATCTATAGCCAGTGGAAAAGTACACGGTACCCATTGCCAGGAATTCAATTTCTTGCACTGAGAATTCCAGAAAATGATTCATTCAGAATAATTGTGTAGAATCTACAGCTCTATGTGTACTGGCAGGTTTCCAATAGATAATAATATAGCAGTATGTCAGGAACCTTCTTAATAAAGAGACATTGTCAAGTCCTCTTCCTTTGAGGGAGCAACAAAAGGGAAAAGATTAGCAGATATGGAGACACAGTGGCCTGGTGGATAAGACATTTCCCTCTATTCCTGGGAACCCTGGGGGAAGTAGAGATGGCCCCTGGAGCCTGCACCTCCTCCTCTGGGAAAATCGAGATAAAGGTTCTCAACTCTGCTGGAGCAGACCCTCATGAGAGACAGGTACTGCTCCTCATGGGGTGAGGTGGGCTGTGACCCAAGCAGATGCGAGACTCAGAGGAGGATAGAAGAGGGACCTCATGACCTACAGAGGTTACTGATTTCCAAGCCCCATCTCTTGTTCTCTTACACTGAACAGAAAGTACTCTCAGTCCTCTTCCTCTCCCTCTTCCTGGGAAGAAGGTGGATCCGACCTCATATGGCAGGTGATCCAAGCCAGTGGGAATCAAGATTGGGACTTATACCAACCTACCAATAACTAAGAGACTTTTACTTTCAAATAAACTTTATCTCTACTTCCATTTTTCTTGCCTCATAGTCCATTTCTTTCCCACGTGTCTGTCTTCGGTCTTGAACTTATGGTCCGGACACTGTCTCTGAGCTTTTTTGTTCAAAAAAGCTGGCACTCTACCACTTGAGCCACAGGCTCCACTTCTAGCTTTTTGGTAGTTAGGGATAAGTGCCTCATGAATTGTTTTTCCCGGTTGGCTTTGAATTGCGATCCAAATATCTCAGCCTCTTAAGTAGCTAGGACTACAGGCGTGGGCACTGGTGCCCAGCCATGGTAATTCGTTAACTGGAGGGGAGAAAGAAAAAGATGGAAGGGTTGGAGGCATGGCACGGTAGAGCGAGAGCCAGTGAGCGAAAGTGTCAGGTATTGAGTTCAAGTCTCAGTCTCAGACCTAAAAAAAGGGGGGGGGGAACCGAACCCTAGATGGTAACATGTTGATCAGGAGACTGAGCAATCCAATGATCATAGAGCGCTCCTGAGATAGGGAGTATTGCTTGTCCTGCCAGGGCTGCCATGGCGAATTTGGGAAATGGGGTCCAATGGGCTTTCTGAGTGTGTCCATGCCCCGGCCGCCCAGTCTGTGGTCTCGGTGGGTCTGCGCCCTGGCCGGGTGCCAAGCGCGGCTCACCAGTGGTCGGACGTGCGGGCGACCTCCCGGCCAGACGGCAGGCCTAGGATGGGAGTTCCGTGGGGCTGCGGAGGGAGGCCTGCGCCGCCCGGGGTCCCCCGGCTCCCCAGGACCGGGGACCGCTGCAGGGTACCCTCCCCACGCCGGACTCCGCTGCCCACCCGGGGCGGCCACCCTCCCGGAGGGGAGCCCCACGACCCCGGCCCGAGGCCGCCCCCGTCTGCGGGCCCCTCCCGCAGGCCGCGTCCCCGCAGGGCTGCCTGCCTCCGCCGCTCTGGGATGCGGCCGCATGGAGGGCCCAGGGGGACCCGACGGCAGGGCCCGCCTCGCCTGGGCGCACAGACCCGGCCGCGGCCTCACTCACCGCAGCGGCGCGCGCCCGCCCGCAGACAGACAAAGCCGGCGCCGAGCCCGCAGCAGCCTCAGCAGCGCCGACGCGGCAGCCGGACTACAACTCCCAGGAGTCCGCGCGCGCCCCGAGGCACTGTGGGAAACTGCTCGGTGGCGCCGCTAGCGTCGCCGTTCAGGCCTGCGTCGTTGGGGGGCGCTGGGGCGCTGCAGATTCAGAAGGCGGGCCCGCCGGGGAGAGCCCTGGCTGGCGAGTTAGGGGTAGGAAGCCTCATTAAATTACCGGAACATGCTGGGCACCGGTAGCCCACACCTGTAATCCTCCCTGCTAAACGGCTGAGATCTGAGGATCACGGTTCAAAGCCAGCTTGGGCGAGAAAGCCTGTGAGACTCTTATCTCCAGTTAACTAGAAAAAGAGTTGGAAATGGAGCTATGGCTCAAGTGGTAGCGCCCTAGTGTTGAGCAACAAAGCTCAGAGACAGGGCCCACGCCTCGGGTTCAAGCCCAGGACAGCACACACACGAATGACTTCGCATTTGGTTATAGAACCTTGCTAGGGAAGCCAAGAGCCAGGGTGGGCCAGGGGACTGACTTCCTGTCTGCAAAACCAGAGTATAGGGAGGAGCCTGAATGAATGCAGAAAACAGAATTCTGGCCAGGTGCTGGTGGCCCACACTTGCAATCATAGGAGGCTGAGACCTGAGGATTGCAGTTTGAAGCCAGCCCAGGCAGGAAAGGCTCTGAAACTCTTTATCTCCAATAAACTACCAAAAAGCTGGAAGTGGAGCTGTGGCTCAAGTGGTAGACTGGTAGCCTTGAGCAGAGAATCACTTATGAGACAGGGCTCAGGCCCTAAGTTCAAGTCCCAGGACCAGAACACACACACACACACACACACACACACACACACACACACACATGGTTAAACTAGTAAATTTTCTTGATATTTTACCACAATAATACAAAGGAGTAAGATAGAAAAAGTTTTGGTTATCAAAAAGCAACCAAAGAGAAAACAAGAAACATATTTACAATATCAATAGCTGATAGATCTAATACTAATAAATAATTTAAAAAAATAGTCCAATTAAGTGGCCAGACGACAAATAAGTAGGAAAACTCAACAAGGTTTAACTGTAAGGAGAATGAAATTAAAACTAGAACAAATTACCAACTAAAATAAAGACCAGCATAACTAAATATAGGCAAGATCCCAGGAAGACAAGGTATACGCATTATGCCCACCTTTGGTCCTCAGCTCCACCCAAACCTGGGCCCCCTCCCATTCCTGGAGTTCCTGCCATACAGCTGGCCCCTCCTTCTCTCCGCCCAGACCCACCTGAACTCCCATCAACCTCTCTTTCTAACCCCCAGCCCCTGCTGCTACCTAGATAGTGGAGGCTGCTATGTGCTCTTTCTCCAGGGCAATCTTGTAATAATCTTTCTCCTGTGCGTACCTACCTCTGCATGGTCCCCTGGCATGGATGAGACGGATCCTTTCATTGATACCTTCACAAGGGAATCTCAGTTAAAAAAATTAAGACATGGGGCTGGGAAGGTGGCTCAGTGGTAGAGCGCTTGCCTTGCATGCATGAGAGCCTGGGTTTGATTCCTCAGCACCACATAAACAGAAAAAGCTGGAAGTGGTGTTTTGGCTCAAGTGGTAGAGTGCTAGCATTGAGCTGAACAGCTGAGGGACAGTGGCCAGACCCAGAGTTCAGCCCCAAGACCTGCAAAAAAAAAAAAAAAAAATGTGGTTTGAGAACTTGAGTAATATGTTTGTTTGTTTTAAAATTTTTAATTAATACTGATATGGAGACTTGAGTTCAGGGCCTGGGCACTCTGTGTGTGTGTGTGTGTGTGTGTGTGTGTGTGTGTGTGTGTGCATGCACACACACACAAACACACCAATCCTGGAGTGTGACTTCAGTGTGACTTCAGTGTGACTTCAGTGCCTGATCATTGTCCCTGGGCTTTTTTTGTCCAAGGCTAGCTTTCTATCATGTGAGCCACACCTCTACCTTCAGCTTTTTGGTGCTTAATTGAGGATAAGAATCAGGGCTTTTCTTGCCCAGGCTGGTACCCAGTCTCTCCATTAGCCTTTTTTTGCTCGAGTGGCATTCTTCCACATGAACCACAACTCAACTTCTAGCATTTTACTGGCAAAGTGGAGATAATAGTCTCTTGGATTTTTTGCTCTGGCTGGCTTTGAACCTTGATCCTCACAGATTAGCCTCCTAAGTAGCTGGGATTACAGGCAGAAACCTCAGGGTACCTAGTTTGTTAGTGTCTTCTAAACTTCATGATGCATGTATGTTGTAACCCCAAAATTCCACTCCTTGGTATTTACCAAGAGACATAAAAACAGACTTTCACAATCAGACTTAATCAGAATAACTTCTAGAGGAAAACAGCACAAGTGCCCAGACTTAACATCCCAAGTCTAGCTGGCTGACCTGCCATCATGGCTTCTGGTTATCTGCAGGCCGGAGTCAGTCCTGGCTGTGGTGACTTCCTGGATGGTGGTACAACATTAGAATCCACGAAGGCTGATTGTGGCCCAAGCAGAGGCTTGAGGCTGATACCAGAAGTGTCCAGCAGGGGGCGATGCGGGCACACTCTGGAGTGTCTTTCAGTCAGAAAGCTTGCAGTGGGTCAGTCTCTTATTTATTTCATGGTCTGGAGCTTTGACCTGGGGCTTAGCTTATAATGGAGTAGAATAGGGACTTTGTCCCTTTTGCTTTAGATATAGGTCACACTGGTGGGACTACTCAGCGGTCTGTAGGAAGGAAGGATGTGGGTTATCTTGGTGCAGCCACTCCTGAGGCAGGCGTTTGCTCAGGGTGCTTGTGAAACAGCACCATAGCCAGTTATGAAAAAGATCCAGATAGACTCAGGTATGAGAAATGTAGCTCCCAGCTGGACACCAGTGGCTCACGCCTGTAATCCTAGCTACTCAGGAGGCTGGGACCTGAGGATTGTACTTCAAAGCCAGCCTTGACCAGGAAGTCATGAGATTCTTGTCTCCAATTAACTGTCAAAAAGCCAAACACTGGAGCTATGGCTCAATTGGTAGAGAGCTAGCCTTGGGCAAAACCTCAGGGACAGAGCCTAGTGTCAGAGTTCAAGCACCTGTACTGGCACAAGAAAAAAAAAGAAGAAAAAAAGCTGAGAAAGATTTAACTCTATGTATATATAAGTTTTTCCTTTGTGCCTCTTGGAGACCAATCAGCCACCTTCTAGTCAATTCTGCCAAGCTAGTGATTGCTCAGTTATCATAGGATAACCCTCTGGATGCCCCTTACCTTGGTCTCTGGCAGATTCTACCAGGGGTGATGCTGGTGTGCTGGTGTGTACTGGGGTGGGCTCTTTCCTTTCAGGATTGGTCTTTTCTTGCATGTCTCCCTTGTGTTGTGTGTGTGTGTGTGTGTGTGTGTGTGCGTGCTAGTCCTGGGGCTTGAACTCAGGGCCTGGGTGATGTTCGTGAGCTTTTTTGCTCAAGGCTAGCACTATACCACTTGAGCCACAGTTCCACTTTTGACCTTTTTCATAGTTAATTGGAAATAAGAATCTCAGGGACTTTCTTGCCAGAGTTGGTTTTGAACCATTATCCTCAGATTTCAGCCTTCTAAGTAGCTAGAATTATAGGTGTGGGCCTCTGGCACTTGGCTTAATTTTTTAAAATTATCTTTATGTAGATATATAAAAGGATTTCAATTCAATGTATCAAATTATGAGTACAAAACATGTCTCATTCATTCATTCTTGCTTGCTTGCTTGCTGGTCCTGGGGCTTGAACTCAGGGCCTGGGCACTCAGGGACAGCTTCTATTGCTTCTATTGCTCACAGCTCTTTGGTGATTAATTGGAGATAAGAGTCTTATGGACTTTCCTGCCTGGGCTGGCTTCAAACCGAATGTGATCCTCAGATCTCAGTCTCCTGAGTGGCTAGGATTGCAGGCATGAGCCATGGCGCCTAGCAGTACAAAGCATCTTGATCAGTGTAACCCTTTTTATCATTCTCCACCATCTCTTCCAACCCTACCTGTTGCCCGAAGGTTCCTGGTTTATTTTACACCGGTGTGCATTGAATATCATGGCTGTATTCTTCCTCCATGCTTCCTTTCATCTGCTTCCCCTCCCATGGGAGGGCCTACTTCATTGTTAAGCATCTTTTGGTTTATTCCTGGCCATTCTAAAACATTCCATTAAACGTAAAAATTAGGTATGGAGGGCTGCTGAGGGATGGGAGGATTTTATCTTTCTGGCTGGTGCATTAGCACCGGCAGCAGGGGCCAGGCTCTGAGGACGGAGGCATCCGTGGTTTGGTGGCTGGCTTTGGTGGCTGGGTGGCTGGGAGGTGAGGTATAGCTGAAGAATGGTGGGAGGTAGGAGTGACAAGAAGGGAGGGAAGGGGAGTCCAGCGTTTCCTGAGGTGTCAGCCAATGCCCCTGTTCCTGGCCTCCTTTAAGAGGAGAGAACAAGCAGACGCTGGCCTGGGATGCGGTGTCCAGGGCCTTTTGCGTCAAGAAATCAGTGTCTATGGAATGCCAGGCCAGGCTGAGAAGCCTCATGTTCCCAGAGAGAAATGCCAGCGTTGATCTTTGATGGTGGTGTGTGGAAGAGGCCAGGGGACTAGGGTTGAACACTGACCAGTGATGCTGGGTGCTGGTGGCTCACGCCTGTCATGCTAGCTACTCAGGAGGCTGAGCTCTGAGGATCACAGTTCAAAGACAGCCCATGCAGCAAAGTCTGGGCGAGTCTTCAACTAACTACAAACAACCTCCCCCCCCCCCCCCACACACACACATGGAAGTGGAGCTGTGGCTCAAGTGGTCTCAAAAACACTAGCTTTGAGCACAAAAGTTCAGGAATAGCACCTAGGTCCTGAGTTCAAGCCCCCAGGACTGGCGCGCACACACACACACACACACACACACACACACACACACACACACACACACACACACACACGAGAAGAAAAGAAAAAAAAAGAAGAAAACACTGACCAGTGACTTTGTCAGTCCTGGCAGACAAGAAGTTGACTGAGCCAGAATACTTAGCTCTACCCCCTATAGTGCTAAAAACAGAAAAAGAGCCTGGGTGGGCAATCG